TTGCATAGTCTACAGCAGTGGCTTTCAACCACTGATGTATGGGGGCCCCTCCTGGATCGGCAGAAGTGATAGGAGGCCCTATCTACCCGGGGGTGAGGGAACAGGGGGAGGGGGCTTATTGGACGATTACAATGACAAAAGGGTAAATGGAGAAAACTAAAAGCGTGCAAACCATCTTCGAAGCTCTGGAACGAAGAATAATCAACCTCACTCATTCCGTGCACATGGTTTGGTCTAGTTAGTTTTGTGGGACGGCCAGTCCCCAAAGCCTTATTTGAGGACCACTGTCTACAGAATAGTCTGCAATGCAACAGTGAAGTTACAGCATAACTTGACTATGGGTGAAAAGTTGCGGCCCCCAGGAGCAAATTATAGCGACAAAGCGAAGCACGTGATAGCTCTCCACGTGAGCAGCGCTGTCGACGATACGTTGTCACGTGCCCTGCTTTAACGCTCCAGGGTTAGTTCGTCAAGGTTGTAGCTTCCCAGGTAGCACAGTTCTCTGGGCCAAAATTTGGTTTTTGGCTGGGAATTTAGAGCCTTAATCCATTTAGACGAGTCTAGTTTGTCCACCCGGAGCCGTCCCCAAACCGTTCAGGAAGAGTATAACTCGTCTGTTTTCGCTGGTTCATGCACTCAACCGTTTTGGAGGAACCAGGCTCGCTCATGACTTGGCACCAAATGCAATTTTAACGACAACAATTAAGCAGTCGAGGGTCAGAAATCCCTCATAACTAGAAACGGCTTAAGGGATTAAAAAGCCCACAGGAAGCCAGGGTACAACAAACCTTTACCTTATTTGGCCAGAGTCTGGGTATCTTGCGCTGAACAAATACAAAAGGTTGGGCTCTGCTGCTGGAAGTTTGGCATGTCATCTGGTACCTTTGGGACTAAATCACCAAACAAGCGCCGAAGATACAAGCTTCGCGTTTGGATGTTCGGTTGTGGTAACTTTGGACCTGAATTGCCAAACAAGTGCCAGGTTTAAGATACACTGCTGTTTTTTTTTTTTGTTTTTTTCGGTTTATATTGAAATTTTGGTTCTCTTCGGCCCGACACTGGCACTTTAGCAATCATGTGGCGAGTCAAAGAAAAACCATAGAAACTCCAAGAAAAAACTACACTGGCACTAACTATAACGCATTGAAGCAAAAGCAGAACGGATTAGGTTCAAGCTAGGCCCCTGGGACGGCGAAGTTTATGCGAAGAAAGGCGTTTCTCTGACGTGCTACCTGAGTTTTACCGTTCGCCACTCTATGAAATAATTAACTGGGAATGGTGAAGTTCCAGAAAACGCCTCCGCGCTAAGAACTATTCCGAAACTAGAAGAGTGAAAGGCATTTGAAATTTCCTGCTAGGGCTCCAGCCGCGCATTCATCAATCTTATCGTTCCTGTACCCTTTTTCCTCTCCCTTTTTTTTGTAACTGAAAAAGCAAGCAATAAATCCCAGATTATGGTACTCTGATCGGTCCGATACTTAGAGCAAAGCGTGGCTCCTCATGAGGCTCACAATAACAACGAATGCAGAAGAAAAAAAAACAAATTTTGTTGGACGGTTAGGCGGAACTTTACGCCTGTCAGAACAGTTGGCTGAGTAGGAACGAAGCGTTCCACAGACCATTACGGATTCGCACCATCCCATCCCTTTGTCCCGCACTACCTCATATTTTAGGATGAGTCCAAACTATCTGACTCTGCGGCCATTCCGTTCTGAACATCCCAAGTACGCATAATCTCCGGCGACTTATCTACTCTTGGCCAGAGTCGCCTCCCCCGTCCGTGCAGAGAAAAGCAGAAGACAAATTTGTTGCAAAAAAAAAAACCCCGTCGCGATGACCCCTGGGGGTAATTTCCCTCGAAAGCCACGAGGTGGCAACCACGTCACAGGAAAGCCGCAGAGAGCCTGGATTCAAGAGAGGGTCCAACTCAAAACCGTGGGAAGCGTATGCAATTTAATGGCGGATGCCTCCTGCGGAGATTGGTCGCAAGTGCGCACGCGCTACGTTGTCCCGCGGCGAGGAGGAAAGCGGACGGAAAGGCGGAGACGCTACCTTCTCGCAGCTCGCATTGCAAACGCGGCACATAAACCACGCGACTCCGATCAAGCACTTGGGTAAATATATGGCGACGAGATGTTTCGGTGGCGCCCTCTTAGAAGTCCTATCCCTGGCGTCACGACCAAAATTATTACTAGCGACGAGTGACGAGTTCGATGGCGGGTAAAGAGCGCAGTGGAAGCCTCTGACATTGGTCTTATTTCCATCGATGAGAGCAGAGATAAGCCTACTCAAGACCTCACAGTGAACGTCTGGTACATCGAGGAAGGCCGATCACAACGACGCTTTTGGTTGCGCACGTCGCCAACAGGCTCTCTAGGAAGCCGCACGGAGAGGAGTCTAGATTCAAGAGAGGGAAAACTCGAATCACGGCGAGTTCTTTCAATTTAGTGACGGACACAGCCCGCGCAAATTGGTTGCCCATGCGCATGCGAGCGCATGGTCATGGGCATGCCGCATGGGCATGAGTGAGTAAAGCCTGGAGACGCTTGTAGACCATCGACGCTTCCGCCTCCTCCTCGCAGCTTGTAATGCAAACACGACCCATAAATCACGTGACTCTTATCGAGCAGTTGGAAACTCTCTGAAATCTAGACACAGTAGAAAGCCACCGCACGGTTAGGAGGGCTCAGCCGCATGCATGTATCCGCCCATCCATCCCATACGAATGCCCGTTTTCTCCAGTGGCGCGGAACGCGTTGCAAAAAATCGAACGCGTCTAATGTATAACGGGTGCCCGTTTTTATCGAATCCATTTTACGAACGTTTCGAAGTGCGCCACGGAGCAACGGGGCAAGTTCGTTATTTTGATAAATCGCTCGGCAATCAGCGCGCATGAAACGGCGTACTCCATTAGGGCAATGAAATGTGCGACAGCCGAGTGAGATTAATGGTAAGAACCTTTTCGTACACTAACTCACGTCATTCGTCGAGAGTGATGCGCTTCGCACGCGCGTTAGGGGCTCTCTGCCCGGCCAGGAAAAAAGGGGCGACCCTACTCTCCCCTTGAAGGTTTCGAGAGATACTGACAAAGTTTATAGAAAATAAGGTAATTAACATGCTTCACAACTGCGGGAAGAACAGGAAAATTGGGTCACTATAATTCCAAAAACTTTCAAACGAGTCCCTCTGCTAAAATGGTGCTTTCGAAGACCAAAATACCTAAATCGACTACACTGCTCTCTTCCTAACTTGCCGAGTCATTCTACTCAACTACAACGATCACTCGCCTGTGACGACACCTATGAGAGCGTTGTGTAAGGACCCCAGCAACAGACGTGTCACCGCCTTGAATATACGCGAGTCAAAAGCACTTCTCAAAGTAACAGGCTCGAGGTTATGCATTCAACAAAATTAAGCCCGAACTACCAATTTCTTCTTTACGTTTTGTCTGTGTCAAAACCGATACCGTATTTACTTCAATTGCTTCCGATGCCGCGATGCTGGTCTCAGACGGGTGGCTCAGAAGCATACCATCGCGAACAGCAAACCCGAAAACTTCAATGTCACATTAATGCGACAGCAGTCAGTTTTAAATGAATCGTTTAACGAATGTGTTTTCACCACTCAGTTCCACCACTGAGTCCTCGAACTGAGTAAGCCAATCTTGGTCACGCTAAAGCAAAATTTACGAGTAATTGGGACTCCGTCTTCATAACTTCAAAGACGGCGCAGAGAAAGATGCCAGTTACGGAAATCGTGGCTTGGTGACGCCGCCACCGCTACAAAATGATCATTTACTAACGTTTTCAAAGTAGCGTGATGACGACGAAGGGGGCATTTAGCAAACCGTTACCGTGTTCCGCGCATCGCACCACTGGTGCCCTTGAAGAATGCTTTTAAGCGCGCGCCCCGTGGTCACGGTACCACCCCGGGCGCGTGCTTAAAAGCATGCTTAAAAGTCTCCAGTAGTGCGGTACGCGGAACACGGTAACGATTTGCTAGATGTCCCTAAAGAAATTCTACTAGCGTACGCCGGTATACTTGCTCAATGTGAAGTAACACGTAAACAAGAGTCAGTGAAACAAACTTCAACGTACCCTTAAAATCATTTTCGCGAAAGGTATCATGTCAGGTTGCTTTCACGAGGAAAGAAAAACTCGCAACGAACCTGACATTTTGGTGGGAGACATAACAAAATGACCACAATTGAAAAAAAAAATATATATATATATATATATAAGTATTTAAATTAATGTAATAGGCTAAAACTACAGTAACCAAATACTTCTAAAGTTAAACGAAATATGAGAAATTTTAAGTACGCCTGAGGTTTATTTCCGGAGGAGCTTGTTACTTAGCGTTCAGTTACAATTACTCATAAACATACATGTAGACAACTAAACAAGTCGACGCTGACTTAGTTTCCACTTGGTGTCAACATCATTGCTACATGAAGTGTCACCGAAATATAACAGGACTGTGTAAATATATACTCGGAACTGAACCGCTCGCAAACAATCCAAACACACCTCAAAGACCCGAAGCGCTGTTTTGTTATTCCATTGTAACTAGCTCTAACTGTTAACTAGATTACTTTTCTTTTTTTCTTTCTATAACTTAATTACATTTTAGTGCAAGTAACTGTAACGACAACGGTAATTCGATTACTTCTAAAAACTTATCCCTACGGGTCCGTTGATAGAAATCGACCTCACGACACCTTTAAAATGTTTTCGCGATGGGCGGTCGCAGCTGATCTACTCAAAGCACGTCGAAGTACAGAGCCACTAGCACTTCCTGAAGTGCTTCGAACAAGTCCCAGCCGAATGCTGACGAAGCACTCGTGTCCTTTCTCTGTACCACATTTGCTGGACCTCCCACAGGTGACGCAGAAAAAACGCTGCACAAGGTGGCCTGGTTACCACGGAGGTGTTGACAGAGCGTGTCAGGTGCGGAAAGCGAAGCGCAAGGCGGCGAGAGGGGAAGGGCAGCCGACTCACCCCTGGTGCGCAGGTCCTTCTCCGCCATGTCCTGGGACTTGGCCGTCTGGTAGTCCACGGCTGTCTGCAGTTTCTTCAGGGAGACGCTCTTGTGCTCATGCTCTAGCAGGTATTTCTGAAAGAGTCGGAATACGGATCCTCAGCACATTGTGGACGAAGAAAACCCCAGCCAGCCACACGTGCACGGCGATACATCGTCCTTACCACCGTCATCACCATCGCTAGAATGGTAAAACAAAAATAAATATATTTTTATTTGCAGACACAGGCCGATGATAGCGTTTATAGGAAAAAAAAAAAAAAAAGCTGTAGGTCAAGGCGTCGCTAACGATTCGGTGCGCGGAGATGAAGACTGAAAAAAGTGTGTAATTTGTTCTCGCGTCACCTCACCGAGGAACAAAAAGTGTTCGAACTTATTTTAGGGGCACATCACTCTAATATAAAGCTTTAACGAGCTAAATTTTATTCTGTATATTTTAGCATTTGTGTGTCAGAAAATTGTGTGGCACATATTCGAAATTTGTGTTTTTGGCACACGAAGTACAACATCGTAAAAACAAAAGTAAAAAACTAAATTGAAAGAAAGCAATCTACAATTTTTACTCGATATTCTTGAGAAGGTGTTTGGAAAACGCGCAGAAAAGACCGTGCACAAAAACAACACTTATTTTCTTGACGAACATGCAGTGGATCGTAGTTGGCGGGAGCGTTTGTACTTTGTCACTCACACATATCGCGTTCACCCAATGGCGCTCCAGCACTGTCGTGCCGGCAATTCCAATAAGTAAATCAACTTTTTTTTTCTTTTTTTCAAGTTGTGATGGCCGCGATTGTGCAAGCTCAGATCCGCCATTTTCGCAAAGAAAACGCTTTACAAAATGCCGGTTTCTGTACTGGCTTGAGTTTTGGAGCGAGAACGGAAACACGGCGAACGAGCTCCAACAACCGCCGCCCCGCAAACTAACGCGAATCACCAGCGCAATCGTATAACAAAACCACCCCGACTTCCCTCCCGTACACACAGCAATGCAAAGAATGGGCCACCGAAGCGGACGAGAAATCATCCTCCAACCACGCACGAGCGCACACATAGCTCTCCCGAACCTCGACGGAAGGAGGCAAGCGGGCAGTCACTCACACCGCTGGAGCCGGCTCTGCAGTTTTAATTAAAACGCTCGCGTTTCCCCGGGCAAGTATAGGGCCAGGGCGCGTCCGAGCTTGCAATTTAGGGGGCACAAGAATTCAGGATCGCCTTGGCGATCCAACGGCGGCTGCGTGGGGCAAAGCTGACGGACGGCTCTTACGAACTGCCCCCCTTCGCGCTCGGGCAAAGGAGCCGCCTTCCCACGTCGTATATAACGGTCGAGCAACTTCCGGAACTCGGCCAAAAATGCGCGTCTTACGACCACAGCTCTTGGGGGCCCTCGCTTTCCGAGTGGCGCCGGGGACAGCGAGTAAAGGCTACGCGACAGGAAGGCCCACAGTCGAGAAATGAGCTACGCCCGCTTTAAGCCGCGGTCCCACTGGCGTGCCAAAGACAGTCTTAAGACACTGGCTGAGGCCTTCCTCGTATCACGTTGCTCATACGAAAACTGTCTGCAGACAAGCAGGTATGAAGCAAACAAACTTCGAACATACTTCAGGCGGGTCCTCAGGGAATGCTGTCATCGTGTCTGCAGCGGACAAACTGTGGCTTGAATGATGTGCGTGAAGTGTAAAAAAAAAATATATATAATTGTGATTGTAATTTACACGTTTTTAAATAACTTAGAACCAAGCTAAATTACGTACATAGTTCTCAAATTTAATTCGCCAAACAAGCGATGTGTCAACACGAGTGTCACCTGTTCTGACAGCCTCAAGCTTCGCAACTGAATAGGACGTGTAGAAGGAAGACGGTCCCTTCGCATCCAAGACACCTTCCAAGCTCATTTTTCTTAATGTTATTTTTATTTATGTTAGTCACACGTATAACTTCCAGCTTTTTTTTTTCGTATTTTTGTGTGCGTTCAATACTCTTAACATGTGCATTTGATGATGTTCCTTGCGTTATGCCGCTTTTATGAAATGCCTTAAAGGAGCTGTGCAACGATATTCAATTGGAATGTTTTTCTCTCTACACGAGCTTACTGGCACTAGTGGGACTCAAGGATACACACACGCAACGCCATTGGCCAAGAAACTCCTTTGTTGCGGTGTAATTTCAAGGACAAAAGCGATCATTTTCATTCAATCTCTCCTTTGCAAAATTTGATGACGCAACTCGGGGATCGCAGTACACCCAAGTGACGATATTTGAATGCGGTTCATAGATTGGACCCGAGCATTGCGTGGGCACTCGACTTGGGCTCGTGACAATTGCTAGCTCGAGAAGCATTCGGGTTGTGACCCGTGTCCAATCGCTGCAACGACGACAACAGCCGAGCCATAACAATGTCTGGAACTCAGCGCGTGTCCTGCGCTTTGCCAACCCCAGCGCGTGGCTATGATCAACACTGGCGGCATATAATCGGCTCCAGATCACGTGGCCGCTTGTTCTGGCTGCGAGTTGAGGGGGTGAACGCTGCTCGTTTTTCTTTAATTTTTTTCTGGGACTTCTATTGCGTGGGGTGAAAAACGAACGCGTGTTTCATAGGTCATTAACGTTAGGGATCTGTTTTAAGCGGTATTTGCGCAGAGTACAAAAATTGTTGCGTAGCTCCTTTAATTGAGTCCTTATGAAGAAAAATAAATAAAAGAAAATTAACTACAGTTCGTTGCAACTCAAGAAGGTAGGGAAAGGGTAAAAAGGGCCGGGGAGGAGAAAGCAGACGGAAGGCTAAGGAAGAGAGTTGGAAACCTCCCCTCTCTCAGCGTTCCGCCTGCTTCCTCCTTCCAGGCCTTCCTTTCCCTCACCCTACCTTCTTGAATTGCAACGGACTATAGATCGGTATTTTATTTTATTTATTTATTTTTAATTACGGGTTGGGAAATTAATTTTGGTCAGCAGCACCTCGACGTCCTGAGATATTTTATGAGAGTAACATCGCATCGTTAGTTTTTCTGAACAATGCTGTTTGCAACAATATGCACTTCCTTGGCACACCACAGCGAAGGATTGACGATTAACTTGAAGCAGCTGGGGATCTCTTGACGTGAATCAGAAACATCGGTTACACAGCGCCTTCCCCGCGATAAGTCTCCGTCAGATGCAGGCAGCTCGGTCGGGATTCGACGCCGTCAGTATGAGGGTCAGGTTAGACCAAAGAACTCAGGAAGTTACAGGCGGAGCTGGTACAAGCGAGACCCCCTATAAAGAAAGAACCTTCTGGAGTTTCCTTCGGCGGAGCTGTCGTTTGGCTAACAGACTGCGAAACGCCTGCTCCTCTTAGGTTCTGTTAGGTTAAGTTTGCGAGTTAAAGTTAAATCAGGCTCTGTGCTGCTCCGAAAAACAATTTTGTTTCATTTCGTTATGAAATGTCCATTTGCTTCGCATCGAAAACGGCGGTTTACCAAATAAGAATACCAAACGTACTACAGTCCTCAACTCTGCGTGCAGGACACGTAATCAACGCTAAGCCGTATATCTTTTTATAACTACCTTTCTATCCGTACAGGTAGTTCATAAGCACAACGCTATTAATTTTAAGTACTTATAAAACTCGGATTATCGCATCTTGGTTAGCAAATACTCCATAAAGTAAGCGAAGCGTTTAACAACAACTAGGGTTTGCATATTACCCGATCTCTCGATTTCGCGCGCCTTTGCAACCTAAGCGCGTTTCTAATAACGTTTACTCACTAAAAAAAAAAAACACACACACACAAATACAACGATTAGGACAATAAGTTGCATCAGGCGGTGCTCAAAGGTTATAACACTGAGGCCGCACCTAGTGATGGAGAGTCCTCAAAGGAATATAATTAAGCCGGAATCGCATCAGATGCGTACGCTGCCGGGGCTTCCCTCCACCTCCTTCAAAGGCCGGGCTTCGCGACGTCGGCGAACACGACCGCTGTGTGCGGCAGCGGGAACAAAAACAAGAATCGAGGGCCCTTGAGCGGCGAGACACAACGCGTTAATTATTGCCGCCGGAAAACAAAAACGGCCCCAGTGCAGAGTTAAAAAAGTAACAATATTAATAATAATAAAACAAATAACGCGACACCCTGAGAGGGCTCCGGTTATGAAAAGTATCTCGACACAACGGCCGGAAATTATAACAAAAACAAAGTAAAAACGCACGAGCGACTGTCTACGGTTATACGGCGTATTGGTATTACTAAATTTATCGCGCAGAAAGGGACTCTCCCCCCCCCCCCCCTCAAAAAAAAAAGAACAAAAAAAAACATAAAGAGCAAAAAAAGAAAACGGCTGTTGCGTGGGTACCTTTTTTCCTTTTTCCTTTCTCCCTCTCTCTCTCTCTCTCTCTCTCTCGCAGACAAATACATACTCGCATAACATAGCCAGCCCTTCAGTATGTCTCTTCGCCTCTATCGGCACTTTCCTGCGACTGTAGACCATTCCAATAACCGCCATCAACGGGCTGCCATCTTGACCTACTGCTATGTAGAACGCGTTCGGAAGAAGCGCAATACGAGACACCCTAAATGCGCCCGTGGCGCGGCGACTCGGCATTTATTTCGCCCGGGTGATGGGTGAAGACATAGCCTCCTCTATACTCATAAAGCCTGGCAGTTCGACGACGGAGTCATAGAATGCTCGGTCGCAAATTCGGAGCGCGAGGATCTGGTAGCACAGAGCATCAAAAAGCCATTTCTTGGGGAACCTGGACGTCAGCGCACAGCTTTTGCAGCGGCGAGCACCCGAAACACACTTGTTCGCTCGTGAAAAGTGTTTCGGCGTCTCGCCGCAGCGGGGCGCCAGTCACGTGGTTCTGCTCTCATCCGTGGTCTGCCACTCTGCCTTTTCCATTTCGGCGGCCCCTTCTCGCGGCGATCTGCCAGGCTTTGTCAGTATATAGGAGGCTGTGGTTGAGAGTAAGAACGAGACGGACACTTACAGACAACCAATGATTTCATTACCGCCTCGCAGCTTGTATTGCAAACTCGGTCCATAAACCACGTGACCCCAAACGAGCAGTGTGAAGCACTTCCGAAACTAGACATACTAAA